CGCCAGAGCTGCATGACCATGAGAGTCTCGTGCCACATGTTGCTGTTCGTTGATGAAATCCGTAAACAGCGGCATCTCCTTTGAAGAGGCCGGTATCTTATTATCCGAGAGTATAATTGAGGATTGATACCATATTCCGGGGCGTCCAGCCCCTTGGCCTACAATTGTAAATGATAAAGTTTCATCCTCAGATGATTCCAGTGGCTGCAACTGCTTCAACCGTTGTTAGTATCTCTCAAGCAACTCCTGCTGTTGTCTCATCAATTGTTGTGATGTTGACTGTCGCTCCTTGTCCTGTTTCGACTCTCGACGGCGCTGTTTTGGGTGTTTCAGTGGGCGTGTCGTTGTTGTTGCTCCTCGATCTGCTGCCTGTCTCGCCTCCTGCCTTCGAGCCAGCGTCACCCCCTGAGCTTGCCCCTCATGTGGCGGTGTGGGTGGAATACTCGTTTGCCGCTGATGAGTCAAGAATACCTCACGTAGGATCCCTTGTTCGCTTGGAATTTGGTATCTGTCTGAGTTCCCGATATCCCTTAAGTACTCGGCGAGATTGACCCTGGTTCGATCCCTGGCGTTTAGTACGCCGTGGCTCCAAACCCTGACGCTCTCGCGTCTCTGGTGCCAGTTGTTGTCGACGTCGACTTTGGCCGATAGATGTGGAGTATCCCAGCTGGACCGGTCTTGGCAGCTTAACCGTCTTTGGGTTCGCCGCTCAGATGAGATCTTTGGGCAGGAATACACCATTGAACTCCTCGCATTCTAAGAGAATCACTTATAGGTTGTCTATTGCAGTATGGATTTTCTCTGTCGACCTTAACGACAAGCACTGATACGAGAACTCTGCCCCGTTTGACATTCTCCGCATTTTCACCTTTCGGAACGCCTCGGTGGTCTTGCCCGTCCCGTTTTGGGACACAGCTCCGTGGTTACCTTCCCTTTTTGACATGCTGACAAACTGGCCAACGGTTATCACGAACGAGGAAGGCATGTCCCCCCTCGCTAGTAAAAGAGCAGTAGAACTCCCACCTTGGAAGTCAGGGATTCTTGCATCGGGCTCCGCCGCTGGTGAGAGACTTGCTGGCACTGGCACACATTCAGAAATCCAAGGTGGCCCAGAAGAAGGCGGTCGACATCGAACGCGTGGACTGTCCTATGATCGGGATCGGCCGCCAAATCCTGTATACCCTGATGGCTGATCCCCCGTATAAAGCTGCTAAAGATTGGCTCGAACCCACAACGTCAACCCACAACGGTCTTTGCTCATGTAGCGCTTGTGATGCACCACATCCATGATGTCACAATTAAGAAAGAGTATCGTGCCCACGTAAAGAATTTGAAGGCTTACATCTTTACCTCACGTGGGTCGCGATGAGATACTATTCCGCGGTACC